CCTTCCTTCCTTTCTTCCTTCCTTCCTTTCTTCCTTCCTTCCTTCCTTCCTTCCTTCCTTCCTTCCTTCCTTCCTTTCTTTGTTTATTTAGTTAGTTGTCAATAGTTGGGCTTGAACTCAGGGCCTGGGTGCTGTCCCTGAGCCTCTTTGTACTCAAGGCTAGTGCTCTACCACTTGAGCCACAGCACCACTTCTAGTTTTTCAATGGTTAATTGGAGACAAGTGTCTCAAGAGGATTTTCCTGCCCAAGCTGACTTCGAACTGTGATCATCAAATCTCAGCCATCTGAGTAGTTAGGATTATCAGTGTGAGCCCCCAGCACCTGACTATGCTTAAACATTTTTAAATTATGATGGTTTAGTGTTATTCTAACATGCCAGATAACAGATCATAGTTTAATTTTAAATTAAACTTTATCAAGATTGCTCTAAGGAAATAGGCAACAACACTTAAAGTAAGAATATTTTAATTGCAATACTTTTGGATCATCTTCTGTTTAATAAAATTATTTCTTTTTAAAAATCCTCCAAGACCCTATTTTGTATTTCAAAGTTTTAGTACCTTTGTTCTTTATCTTGTGTAAAAAAAGATTGACAGATTGAAAATTATTCTTTTTCTCCAAAAATAAGTTAGACATAAAAAACAACTACCGCTCAACTATTACTTTCAATGTCTCTATCACATATTCAGTACTTCTCAAAGGAGATGTAATTTATCAATTGGCTTGTCTTCTTTCTGTAGCGATGCAATGTTTATCCTGGAGATTTAAGAAACCTGACCCATATCCTTTGCATTAGCCTTCCTCGGTGATTGTGATGTTTGTAATATTACTAGAAATCTCCAAATGCCTCCAATGGCGCAGAACTGTGTTGATTCAATTTTATATTTCTCAGAATACAGTGTGATAAAAAAACACCTAGGTATTCCAGGTGGGGTTTTGTTTTTGTTTTTGTTTTGTTTGTCTGTTTTTTAAAATATACTGTTGAAACTGGAAGAGAATGAGAGAATGGGTGACATTGTCCAAAATGAAATGTACTCATTGCCTGACCTATTTAACTATAACCTCTCTATACATCACCTTTAAAATAACAAAGAATAAGGAAAAAATTTAAAATAATATATTTTTGTAAACCCATCCGTTTTCCTGAAGTAGGGTAAATAAGGAAGCCTTAGAAAAGAAATAGCCAGTGACATTGCTAGAGAATATATTACTGTAAAAGATTTGCTCTTGCTTCTGAAAGATATGGTAATAATACAATAATAAATAGTTTGTAATAATAAGCTAGCTGCAACATTTGTTAGTTTAAAACCTAATATTTGACCAAAGGACTTACAATCTTGGTACAGACATTTCTCCCACCTATGACTTGCCAGGATGTAAGTAATGTGAACTTAGATTCATGACGTAAGACTGACATCATAATGACACCCAGAACCCAAGGGAAATAACAAGAAGAACCACTTACCCTAGGGCTTTCTGTTCTCCAACGTTCTAAGATTAGTGTTTACTTTCACCTACTATTACTGAGTAAAATTTAAAATTACTGAATGAAGACTTTTTACCTTGGTAAATATTTCTTACAGTTTTGATGTATGAGCACATGTAAAGGGAAAAATCTCTGAGGACCATCTTAAAACTAATTTCATTTGTGGATCATGTGTATTTTGTCAAATCCATTGACTAACTACATGTTGTTTTATGTTCTTAAAATTCTGGATTGCTCATCTCACAAACATGTATTTTAAGCAAGGCTAGATTTGAATTAAAATTATAATCTCACAGATCTGGGTCAGTAGAGACACTGACAATTCTACCCAACTAAAAGAAGACTACAGGCTCTATATAGACTATTAATAGTTATTGACATTGCTCTTTGTCTTTTCTCCCCCACTCCTGAAAGGGAACAGTTTCTTAGATAAATTTCAGATGCTATTAAAGATACTGTATAAAAATTTCAGTGGGCTAACTCAATTTCTCTTGCTCGGGTGATGTTAAAGACCCTACCACAGGAGCCTTCTATCAAAAAGACTTTTGTGATCCAATTGTTTGTCTTTCCACTGACTTAAAAACATAAGTTCTTATATTTCCATACAAAGAATCATTTACTATACAAAGTATGATATCTAAATCTACATTTCAGTTAGAACTACAGGTTTATACTTTGCTTATAAAACATATCTATAATATTCTTCTGGTATTAACATACACTCAGATCCAATTAATAAATGGACAGCCCATAATGCCTGCCCTTATACCCTGACCTCTCAAGTTAATTTCACATGGCATTCTTAATTAAATTTGCATGATCTATTAAGATCTTAGACAGCCAATGATCTTTTGTAATGAGCAAGTGTTTAGCCTTCAATTGCTACATAACAAATAACCACAAACTTAGTCATATAAAACAACACAGATTGATTGTGTTTTAATTCTATAGGCTAAAACCTCAGGTAGGTTTGATGGGGTTATCAGTTCAGTGTCTTACTTGGCTAAAATCAGATTTTCTGTAGGATCAAGCTCTTAATTGGATTGTTGAGGAATTAGTGAACACATTCCAGTCAACAAAGACTATGTTTTCACTTCTTGATCCTGTATTTCTTATAAATATTTTCGTGTCATAGGGCTGTGAGATGCCAATGCTTTCAAACAAGCATTATTCCATCCTGGCATGGTGGTACATGCGTGTAATTCTGGCTATGCAAAAGCTCCAGAGCCTCATGAGTTTGAAGCCAGCCTGATTTATACCAGATAGCAATGCAACACCAAAGGGTAGAGAGTATAGATCAAGTTGCAAAATATTTTCAAAACCTACCCAATGCCCCGAGCTCAATCTCTTGCATCATAAAAAATAATATTTCATAATCCAAATACTTTTTTCTTTTACTGCAAGCAGCTACAACAAACCTTTGTTTCCTAAAGAGCTCCATAAAATAGAGGAAGGACACTTACCTGTTCAATGTTTTCTCATTACAAAATATGCCAGAGCTATCCTAAAACATCATCATCATGGCCTCACGTACAACCAAGGAGAGGTTCATTCATAATCATTCTTAGACTTTGCCAACCACTGAAACAGAATTAAACTAAATGCTTCCTTAAATCATTGAACATAAAATTTGTCCTATGTTTTCCCCCAATGTCTATCCAGTTTGAGTATTATCACTGTACATAAGCATTTTTAGTGTTTTCATTTTAAGACTGGAATTTGTGTGTGTGTGTGTGTGTGTGTGTGTGTGTGTGTGTGTGATAGTTTCTAAAGTCACTTGAGTGTAGTAGAGAATGAATTCTCTCTAAGGTTCCAGAGCTTGAACAAATCCTTTGTTCACAGCTGGTGCTCTACCGCTTGAGCCACATGAATAAGATTCTTTAATTTATTCTTAAGACATTTGATGTTATATTTTATATTTATGCTCCAAGATGAAGATTGTAAATGCTATTGGATAAAGTTAATTCTTGCTAGTATGTATCCATAAATCACACAAATAATCTCAACTGGAAACTTCCTTTATACTTGGTTGCAAAGTTAATTTGCTTCAATATCTTCTTTCCCTTACATTGTTTTCTGCTTAAATCATGTCATTAAACTGTCAGTGAAGGAAATGTTTAGACTGCACACAAGGATGTTGCACATGTGCAAATTCTTCCATGCCACAAACAGGAAAGAAGTATTATAAATAGAAGTGCTGGACTAAGCACTATGCCTTGAGGAGAATCGATTTACCTATGCCCTGAAATGCTTCACAACTATTCCTTTCATATATTACATTAATATACATCTGTTTGATTTGTTGGAAGATTATTCTCTGAGTGTAATATCCATCCAATTCAAGAATCTATTCTTTTAATGTCAAAAAATTTGCAGTTCTGAATACATGAATGTGAAGAATCCATTGTAGGTTAGATTATTTGATTTTGATTTTCAGATGTCCAATTCATTTTTTCACTCACATGACACATTTTTTAGCATTTATACTGCACTATTTATGATTTGCAAACGTAATAATTACAGTATCTGTTTTGGAATATTTTAATATATAACAATAGGGAAACAATCTGATTTAGAAAAATATTATAAAGATGTAAGTAACAGTGAGTGGTCAATAACTTATCCTATATTTTTTTCTACTAATTCAGAACATAAAGAAAGCAATTCTCATTATTATACTCTTGACTTCTTCAAAAAAATCTTTGATTAAATTACAAATCAAGGAATTTTACCTGAGCAGCTGGAATACAGAATTGCCCATCTTAAACACTACACAAAGTAGTACAGAGTTTATATATTTGCAGAAGCAAGTCAGAGGGAATATATCATCACAGAGAATCATCTGGGCTCAGATAAGCCAAAGAGTAATAATTTCTATAAAGCTAGCCGTCAGCCCTTCCCTTAGGTTTAAGAACAGAGTGGTCAGAATCTGCTGTTGATCGGATATGGCTCATCTTCCAAAAGTTCTAGGTAAGCCCCTGAGAGGGTTGAAGTGATGCAATCTTTAGGAGGTGAGCCTATTGAAAAGGAATTAGGTCTTGGGGCCTCACCCTGATGGATATTTTAAAGCTGTTTTCTCAGAGTGAGCTGAGATTATTGCAGTGGATTAGTTCTGTGGACAGTAGTTGTTTCAGCCAAGAGGCTCTGGCAGGACATGGATAGCATGTGATTGCAATCTTTCAACAACCAGAACTCCAAGACAAATAAACTTATAATTCATGACTTAAGTATTTTGTTACACACATACACACTGTAACATTTAAATAATTATACAAGTATAAATATTAAGGATCTAAGAAGAAACAAAATTAATTTGATAAAGACTGACAAGGGAAGATATTGGAAGAGGAGATTGGATTTTTAGATAGCATGTACATCAATGTAATTAAGAAACAGAGAGGAAGAGGGTTGTACAATCTATCCATGATCATGCATAATTTCTGGAAAGGCTTTAAGCAGAGACGTTATGATTGGACTTGTAAAGAAATAATTTCACTGCAAGAGAGCATGAGTGCTATAAATCTGTTAGCCTGACAACTCTAAGAGGACAGGAAAGGACATGGCCACTGAAGAGCCTCCTACAGTGTGAGTTTATTTGTATTTAAAAGAAGACATAACATTGGTAATGTAAAGTTCAAACTTTCATAATTCAGAAGCAGGCTTTTCAGGCTTATGGTGGAGATCCAGATAAAAAAAATAAAGTAAAACTTGACAAAAGACCAGGACCACATTCATAGTAGCACAAAGGAATGCTGGTTTCCTTCTTTTCATTTCTTGTCTCAGGTGCAACAAAATATGAGAGGCACAAGAACTGTTTAGCATCAGCTCCATGAAGAAGGGCTGAGTGACAGAGGACTTGTATGTCATCCTTGGTAGCTTACTCACATAGTCACACATGTGTCCTTTCAACTAGCACACAAGGTCCAAATGGTAAGTCTTCTGCTTTCTGACAGACAATAAACCTATTTACACGTACGTTAGACAGAACATACTTTCTACAATATGAAAAGTATGAGAACATTTTTCTTATAGCTTTATTGAGAGTAGAAATATAGAAAAGGATTGGCAATAATATTTGTTTTTTTTATTGTGAAACCACCATACAGAGGGGTTACAATTACATGGGCAATGTAATTGCCCAGTCAAAGTTGTAAAGTTCGTTTCTCTACCTAATGTCCTGTACATCTCATTGTTGCAATGGGTCCACCTGTATCCCTATTTAAACGATTTGGTTTTTCCCTTCCCCTCCACAAATTATACCAACATCAAATACAGTGAAAACAGGGATTATACCATGGGGGAGGGACATACAAAGCAACAAAGAAATAATCTATAAATATGTTGGAAACAATCGCAAGAAAGAAAAAAATTGAATCCTTATCTTGGATTTCATTTCACCCAACATCAACTTTTCTGACCGTTTCTGATTGACTCATACATATACTAGATATTGCAAATAAGGGAAACGATAGGACC